TACGCCAGGGCCGCATGGGGGAGCGGCGGGGGCAACAACGGCAGACTGCGAGGGAGCTGCAGTAGAAGAGGTTTTAGCAACCGAGGGAATAAACGAAGAGGGAGTTGCAATAGGATGGGGGTGGATAGGGTGCAGGGCGAGGGAAACGAGTCTACATGGAAAAAAGAGTAGAGGAAGAAGAGGGTGCTCCCGAAGGTGCGGCCACTTGTGAGGGTAGGGGTGGCTGAAGGCGTAAGAGGGCGAGTTCAGCCCGGGTTTGGGCAAGTTCGTCCTCGAGACGTCGATCGTAGATTGAGCGAGGAGTGGTAGGAGGAAGAGTGGGGGAAGTGGACGCACGAGTGAAGCGGGGCATCCCACAGGTGGGAGAGACAAGTGGCCCTCTGGTCGTGCGAAGGGGAGAGAGAAGCGGTGTCGGGGCAGAGACCCTTACAAGGGTATCTGCCGGCATTTTGACGGCTCGCGGGAAGGCCCCGTTCTATCCGTAAGCTAACGGGGTGTTGGTAAGCGAGTAAAAGACAAAGTAAAGGTAATCCGCAGCGGCGCGACAAAAGATTTCATGGGTATCCCAACCCCGTGTACATATTTACATTTATTTTCTTATCGGGTATTGACCCCACGTCTGTCTTTGCAAAATTTGTTACTCAGACTCTAGGGTTGCGCACCCAAGTGGTTGTAGAAAGGGCGGTTGACGCTACAAAGACATATCGCGGCGGAAACTACTAAAGGAAGGAAGCCCGCAACGACAAGGACGTCGGGGCTACCATTCCCCTTCGCCCCCACCATCGAAGCAATGTGCGACGACCTAAACAAAAAGTAGCTGCGCGACCCATCGGTCGCGCAAATCAGGGTTCATCGAAGGAAAAGACCAACGTTAGAAACACTTGAAGCACGATTGCAAAGGGGGGCGCTCGAATTAAAGGCCTATCCGAAAAGACTATTGAAGAGAACCTACCCTACCGCAATCCCTATAAGACTCAACCTCACTCCTACGCCATGCGTGTGCACCATGCCGTTTAGCTAGACTAAAGTGGGTGTCCAAGTAATATGAGAGGAAGCCACGGAAATAGGCGCGTTGGGACCAAGCATTCCCCGACATTCCTACTACTAGGACAATGCGCGACGACCTAAAGAGAACACACCGGCTCGGAGGCGGCATAATAACGAGAAAAACTAAGGATTGGAGTTGAAAATTTATCTACGAAAACCTACCGGAGAGAACACACCCTACCTGAATTTCTATAGGCCTGACTCCACGCCCACTACATACCTACCTACCCCACTTAGCTACTAGGATCGGAGGGTGTGTGAGTGACGTAAAAGGTGGGGGGGATGCCACGGGGTTGCTGGCATTGCGCCTGGCGCAGACACTCATAGAGCAGTGGTGCCCCTCCCCACGCAGAACTAAAGGCTAGCCCAGTCGGTTTGGGTGGCGGGCTACTGAATACAGGATGCAGGGATCAAGCCCGCACGCCTCCAACCAGACTGACTCCATTTTTGGGAAGCGGAGATGCGCTTGGTGCAGCCACTCACATAGAAGTGGTGCCCTTACATTTACAGAAGTAAGGGCTAGCCCAGTCAGTCTGGATGGCAGGCTGCCAAATATCGGACACAGGGATCGAGCCCGCGCACCTCCGACCGTCGGGCTAGCTCCCTTTTGGACAGGACCGCGGAGCCCGAGGAAAGGATGCCTCGACAGTAATAAAGGAGCACCGCGTTTATCGAGACAAATACCGGCTGCGCTCGCTCTTACACCGTGGAAAGAACTAGCCCAATGGGTTTGCGGGCAAACTAACAATCACGGGACACGGGGTTCGAGCCCATACGCCTCCGACTGGAGGGCCAGCTTCTTTAAGCAGATGGTAAGGCAGGCACGATGGCGCCCAAGTCAGATACAGCGCAGTACAAACTCCACCACGCGATCTAAGAAATCACACGGCCATGGTCCGCCACCGGAAAGGCAAAACAACTTCAAATTTCTTCTCTGAGGCGATTACGGGCGGACTCGATCTCTGGGCAGCAGGATAGAAGGACCCTGTGACCGTTGGGAGGAGGAACTAAGGGCAAACGAAAACGAGATGACAGAAAGGAAAACGAACGGGATTTTCCTCGAATGATCATGCAACGGAGGACTCGAACCGCGGGCAGCAGGGAAAAGGCCGCGTTAAAAGGAAAATAAATAAAATAAAACAAAATGAAAAATGACAAAAAGAAAAACAAAAAGAAACAGACAAACTACGAGATGCCAGATGGCGCGTGGGAGGAAACCGCAAGGCAACAACTGGATCCGTTTCAAACGGATTTCTGTTGTTTTATTTATTTATTTTTCTCTTATTATTTTCTCGTTTTTTTTTTTTTTTTTCTTTAGTAGCGTTTCTCTACAGCACCCCTATCAATGGCCTGTATTTTTCTGTGTTCTAGGAGAAGATTCATTCTCAAGTTACATGATCAGTGGGACTGCGCCAGAGGGAAAATGGGTGCCCCACGCCCATACTGCACCTGGATTCGAACCAGAGTGTCTGGTATAGCACCACGSGAGGGCCGTGGCTGTAGTTGGCGAGGAGTAACGGCCATTATGGCCCCTCCTTTGGCCTCAGMCGGGCCATGATAGCTACCCTGCAGACTCGGCATCCGCACATTGGATCTTTCTGATCCTAGGGGTGGGGGTGAGTGCCRRGGAAGAGACACTTGCACATGGGAAGTARGAATAAAGGAATAATGGCGTGATTCCCGCCATTGAGATCAGTGGATCTCATGGTTGGGGATCCAGCAGAAGAACGGAGGGCTAGGACTKAATAAAACACTAAGTCCAGCCTCCTCTYGACGTACCTGTACTAAGAAAAATAGTCAGGTACGTCAAACTTTAAAAATTCATAACTCCTAGAATAATGGTCAGAAAAATACAAGAAAAACTGTTTCAGAGATGAGACAGTGTCGGCCATGTCCTGATAATTATGAGATGACTGATTGAACTAACCCTGAATAGATAAAAACGAGAGAAAGGGGAATAGTCAAAGTCAAACGCACTAAGTGTGCGGTTGCGGTGCGACGACGTCACACCGTCGATCTCACAAAAATCGAGGGCCCAGGGCCATCTCGAATTATTGCCTAGGGGCTAGAGTGTCGAGGCACACTCTCCATTTCRAATTATTGTCTAAGGGCTAGAGTGTCGAGGCACACTCTCCAACTCGACTATAAAAGCAGGCAATGCCCAGCAGTTGCCACACAAGGAGCACGTGCTGTAGGAGTGGTCGCACACTCTAAGGCATTTGTGAGTTGCGGGAGTGCCTTGGGAGTGCTGCTGGGAGTTTACTAGAGGAGCTGTTGGAACCAAGAGGAGGATGAGGAGCCACCATAGCCACAAGGTGGAGGCACCTTGCTGCCACCCTGGGTTGGTACCGGACCTACGGCACATGTGCTAAGGACCACTCCATTGGAGCAGGAGCTCGCCTCCAAGACTCAAGGGAGCGGCGTTTTCGACTTAGCTTCGGCCGAAGGCCGGGTTTTATTATTTTGAGCTTGGACGTGGCCGACGTGGGGGTGCATGCTATTGGAATAATCAAGCGGCAAGGCTACGTCTGCATGCCGAGGAGCGTTGTCGACCTTGTCATATGTGGGCGTCAGGATAATTTTGTGAGATTGTCGCGGGACCGCCGTTGGACCTGGTTTTTGACACCAAGGCGGTGCCTTCTATTTTTGGAAGCAAGGGTCCCGGGTTGCGGCGTGACGAGGCAGCGGTACCGCTTAACCGCTTGTTGGCAGTTCACGGCGGTGGCACCAAGTAATTTTTGTGTGGCGTTCCAAGTGTGTCGTCGCGTTCCGAGGGAGACGCCGAGTGCGGCACAGGCTTGAGGCGGACGCCAGTGCAAAACTGTGGCAGTACGACACAAGGGATTTTTTGACCAAGAACGGCGCAAGTCTTTGACGTTTTGGCGTGGTGGAACCCTTGGTACCGGTCCTTGGCACCGTTGGGACGATTTGGGGTTGCGCTGCATCGACGGTCCTATTGATTGGACTTTTGACCCCTAGACGCCAAGGGATTTATTTTGAAGGGCGTCGACAACCTGCATTACATTCGGCCCGACGGGACCAATTTGGAACCAAGGGTGCCACTAATCACTCGCGGGACGTACCGGAGCAAGCAAGGACCGCTCAATAATTGTTGGGGTTCACGACAATTGTGAGTTTCTATTCAAAACATTTTGGAGCGTGGTTGGAGTTCAAGATTCAGCTTGGCTTTCTTGGGTGAGTCGGTCGGCATCAGCGACACTTCACTCAAGGTCAGTTAATGACTCAGACCCCTCACTCCCCACGTGAAACCACACTTTGCTTGTCCCATTTCTATTTCCTTGAATATTCTGTCGAAAGAAATTAAGGCTGGTTTGTGTGTGCTCAAACATGAAAAGGGAAGTGTTGTCTGACCCCGGTATTCCCGCGTACTCTCGGAATCTGTCTTGGCTTTGTACCTTGTTGCAGGCAATGTGAGAAAAAGCTTTGCATGTCCAATGAAGATTAGGGTCTTCTGGGTGTGACGCTCCACCTGTGAAATGTTTAAACGCTCCTTTGTTTGTTTTTTTTTGGTTCGCAAGATCCTTGGTCGATTGAGGGTCACAAGGGAAGGATCTTGTCATTAATTATGCCTTTATTTATTTGGCTAAGCGGTCTCTACTTTAGGAATTCAACGATATGGGTCGTTCGTTATATTGCTATAAAGCGATCCTCGCCTATTACCCACGACAAGAATTGTAGGACGCGGTGAAACGAGTCGACGGTGCTCCACTATTTTCACCTTTCTTTCTTGAACTATCCGRCGCATAGGAAATAGCTCCAATAAGCAYGCACCTAGCAGCCTCGTCTGGCTTGAGGAGYACCACGGAAGGATGGGTAGCTTYCAACTCCCCCGGGCCTTGTGGGACTAAGCAGCRATAGGAATCACCCTACATTTAGCCTGCACACGCTTGACGTCATTCTATACAAATAGCCCAGTTTCTCGTATACTTCACTTCACTACAAGATTTTTGTGTTGCCGGTTCCTTTTCTAGGAGGACGACAGAAGTTGGTTCGTCGTGGCCTGCATCGCCTATCGTGCCAAACCTTGGCAAAGGGGAGTGAGTCGGCCAGCCAGAGAAATGGGGGCGCAAGTAGCAGACAACACGGGTGCCGCAGGCAGTGCTGCCTCGAGCAGTTCGCGACGAAGGGTCGCGACGGTCGCCACCATCATGTTGTTTCCAAGCAAGACGGAGACAAGGGCGTCTGTTGTAGTCGTGGGAGGATTAAGGCAAGGATGGGCGAGAGTCGGCCGCATGGTCTTCCATCCCGCGGACGTCTTCCCGACCGAGGTGGAGCTCAGTGAAGACCAAGGAACCCTTGAGGACCCGCCACAGATTTACGCATTTGTGACAACGGCCATGAAGYTGGTACTAAGCGTTGGCGTGTGCCCCCTTAGGAAGACGCACTGGTTCGACGTCGGGGTCGTCTACGACGTCGTGAACAAGTCTATCCACCGCAAGTTCGAGGACGAGATCATGTGGTTRTCCCTGYGCATTATGAGGAACCACCACRCTCGGCAGGGACCATTCATATACATCGAGCATTACGATCGCRTTGGAYCGTATGATGTCGGATTCCGTGTCGCGGAGAGGTGTGACGATGAGGCCCTCCAGCGGCGGGAGGAGAATTTGCTAAAACTCTTTCATATCTGATGATGGCTCTTGGTGATGCAGGATGGCTGGAGCTCGGCGCGATCTTACGATCCCCAGGTATCTCCTGATTCGAGATACGATCGAGGCTGACCGCATCGCCTGGGYGGARAGGATGTCGATGGTGTTCGATGGGACTCCGACTCGATGGCTCGGTTTYGTCGGGATCGTCAACAACRGACACAGTTCTTTTCCGGAAGAGCGATCGGAGATTCGAACGAACTTGATTCGGCGTCCGAACGAGTTGCAAGGGCATACATTGTATTTCCATCGGGTCTCGAACATGGAGCTTGTCTCTCGAGTCACCGCTGGAGTACTCTCCAGACGATCCGGAGCGCAAATGGTGTTCCTTTGGCTGCGAGACACTTCCGCCCGACACCTTAAGTGCCTCGGTGTACCTTTCTGGTCCGTCCTGTTGACATTGGCGTGACGAATGGCGGAGGTCTACAGCACGAGCGACCTACGACTACGATGGCAAGGACGAGTGTGGAGGATGGCGATTAACGAGGCGTTCATCCAGCGGCATACCTGGCTAGATAGGCACGCTCGGGTGACTCACACGCTTTACGGCCGCTTGGAGTCTTCCACCCTGTATAGGTCCCTGTAGAGTGGACCGTCCAGCGGAGTGTAGCAGGTTAGACTCCTACGATCGGATCATCAGGCTTCGCCCTCAAGAGGGCTAAAACATGATAAAACTCAGTAGTGCCGACCAAGAAAACGTGGTCAGCCCCCCCCTATGATTATCACTTTTCCACAACAAATTTTGCAGGCATTATGATGAGGGGCGAAGGCGGCACATAAGTTTTGTTCCTTTCCTTCCTATATGTTTAAGATTGATGGTCGTTCGCAGTTAGGCAATAGCCTTTATACTAGGAGGGACGCAAGTGGTTTGGATAACAGGAAGTCACAGGAAAAATAATAGAGAGTGTCTTGGGCATATTGTTACAACGCGGAGTTGCTTTTGCAAATTTGATTCAGTAAGTTCCTTGTCCCGGCAAGTTGTGACTGTCGATGGTATCAAGGGGGTGATCCTCTTGTCAGTTTCTACGTACATCAATTGTGGAACGCTCTTGAAAACTTTCCTTTCAACTTTATAAGATAGTGAAAACAAAGGCACGTTCCCTCTCATCGAATCTCTCATACCTGCAAAGAATTGTTGTTTCTGCCCTTGGGATGATTCGCTACCTGCATGCTGCATTTGTATGTCTTCGTTTGCATCCTCTATGTGCCTTGGCTGTCGTGTATGTGCTTTTAGTAACGACTTCAAACATGTTTGGTTGTAAAGCTCATGTGTCTTAATGCGACATCTATGCGTGACTTAGTTACGACCCTCGCGTGGTTGTTAGCAACGTCTATTTATGTCTTGGTTATTTACGTTCATATGTTTGATTCCAACGTCTGAATGTTTCAAGTAACCCATATGTGTGTTTTCTGCTCCAATGACACTGTCTTCCGGAAAGCGTCTTTATAAAAGACTAGGAGTGACTTCGATGGGATCATTCTATATTCACCTATAAGAATTGTCTGTACTACGGCGAAACGAGCAAAACGCCCCTGGCTGGTCTACCTCTGTGATTGCATGTAAAAGTTTTCATATGTAGATCATTAGCTCGGTAGGGATACGCGTCTGAGGATGGTGACAGCTCCTCAAGGAAGACGAGTTGTGCCTCGCGGCACCCTGACCTGTCTTTCCACCTCGATGAATTTTGGGGGAAGCATTCCGACTCTAAAACGAAAGATATCAAAATCCTGTATGATGCGGCCGGGAGGTCCCCATTTATGCGCTACGATGCGAGGGGGGGGCGTTGCGTCCGACAGGTGGCGCCGTTGCCGGGGATGACGACTATCTACCGTTGTCCCTGGTGGAACGACACTCGGGTAAGGTAATCCCGAATAATTACCTTGTATTATTATTTAACTAAGCGGTTTGGTTGTGATTTGGTTTCCTCTCGAAAGGACAAGTGGCATAATCGTGACAATGACCCTAGTACGACTGAGAGATTATGAGATAATAACGACTCAACATGGATGGGCCATCCCGATCGGTTTGAAACTGCATAATGCAATGAGTTTGATAAAAATCTTTCCTGACTCACGTATCTGATTGTGATCGTTGTTCCTCCTGGCACTTCACTCAAGATGGGGAGCCCCAATCTCGTTGAGAACGATAGTCTGGGCGACGAGAGGCTCAATGACATTCAGGAACTCGCGAGGCTTATCCGACAAACCACCACGTCACATGAGAAGTTTCCGAAAATCAAGGTTCCTCTGTTCGATGGGGAGAATGTTACGGACTGGCTAGAAAAATATGAGTTGAATGCTCATGTGCGTCAATGGGCTGAATGAAAGATGTTGGAAGTAGTAAAACGCTATGTGCACGTTGATCTTGCAGAAGAAGTCGGCGAGATGGCGTGTAGGACACGAATTTGAAAAACGTTCCGTGAGCGAATGTTGGAAAAATATCAGTTAGGAGACGGATTGTTGGACGTCTCTGACCTTCGTAAAGTAAGTCGGGAGAAATTTGGGACGATCGAAGGGTTCCTAAAGAGGTTTGAGAAGGTAGCTAAGAGGATTCCCGATCTTCCCGATAAGACGAAATGCATTATCTTTCTGACCAACTTCACGGAAGTCGAGCAAAGAGAATTGATGAAGGGTTTTACTACCAGGTACGACTGGAATAAGAATAAGGAGAATCTTAAGGTCGGTGACTTCGACCAAATGCTCTATCATCTCCTGCGCAGACAAAGGAAAATGCAGGAGGAGGAGCTAGTGAGTTGTGATAAGGATAAAGAGATGTTCGGGGCGATTATGGATGTTAGGATGATGATGAACGAAATAAGGAAGGAGGGACTGTGTGGCAAGGTACTGACGGTGAGGCAACAAGACGGCAAGAGAAAAGGAAAAGAGAGGGAAGAAGAGTCCGACGAGGAAGGTAGTGAAAAATAAGAAGAAAAAGAACCTCCTCGGAAAGCGACGAAGGCCGAACGAAAGGCCATGAATCAAACACGGGGAGGGCAAGGTACGAATGGAAAGCAAGCCAAGAATAAGAGTGGTCATGGGAATGATAATTGTGATAGTATCAATCAACATCAAAAACAATCTCAAGATATCGAGCCCCAACAATTTCGGCCGCAAGGCGGAGGAGGCCTGGGGCGTGGTCGGGGAGCTTCTGGTGGTCGCGATTACGGTAATAAGGATTGGAATTGTAACTACTGTGCACAAAGAGGGCACGGTGTCCGATATTGTCAGACCCTCGCTAAAGATGAGGAGGATCGGATTGTGTATACGAACATTCCAGGCGAGGTCATCGATTTCGAAGAGAACCTTATCGATTCATACATAGAAGGAGGAATGAGGAAGGAAGCATTTCGACGCATGAACCGGACCATGCCCTGCACTTACCGGTTGGCCTCGAAAGAAGAAATGAAGGTTCCTTAGTCTAGAAAGGCTGCACGCCAGACAATTTTTTGTAGGCCTGATGTTAGTAAGGGCAAGACCGAAAAGGAGAGGGATGTGCGAAAAGCCTTAAGCTCGAGAAGCGGTTTAGAGGCATTTGGAGGCCAAGTTATGAGACTGGGTCTCGACATGGAAAAAGTTTGGTCGGGCGTACCGAATATGTTTCTGCTTGGTGGACACGACGGGAGAAGGGGCGTGGCTCCTTTGGTGGCGTCTCTGTCATCATTACGTGTGGAGAGGCCGTCATCGTCCCACCTTCAGACGGCCTCTGCGGGAATGCGTTCCGTCTTGAACAGGCCAGTCCTCCGAAGAGGAACGTCACCAGCGGTCCCTCAAGCACAAAAGATTAAGAAGGGAATCCAACCTCCAGTCGCGCCCGTTGTCAGTGCGAAGGCGCAACAAGAGGCGCCGGTAGTAATCGTGGAAGAAGACTTGGATACGGAAGATGAGAAATTAAGGGCGGAGGACGAGTGTCAGACAAAGTTACGCGCCCAAAAACGAGGTCTAGATGAGAATCAAGATAAGGAAAAGGGTGAGGGAGAAGAGGAAGAGAACAAGAAGAAGAAGAACCGATACACGATTCCGATTGAGGAAGGGATCGACATTGAGAAGATGGTGGATCGAATACTTGAGAGCTATCGAGATTTGGTAACACTCAAGGAATTTTTGGCAGCCTCGTCAAAGATTCGGGAAAAGTTTAAGCAAAGACTAACTCGACGAAAAGTGATGACGGTTAAACTAGGGGAGGTAATCTCACCAGAGGCAAATTGGACTCTTGCGGGAGCAAAGATGGATTGGAGGTGTGTAGCGACTGGGCACGTAATGGTCAAGATAGGTGTTTCACAACATCTTATGCTCGTTGACACCGGAGCGGAGATTAACATATTAAGGGAAAAAGAGGCGCTAGAGTTAGGAATTGAGATTGATCGCACTAATAATGGATTTCTGGTTGGCGCAGGAGGGTCGACACCCTTCTGTGGAACTGCCAGTAATGTCAGTATACAGATCGGCAAGGTAAAGATACGGTCTTATTTTTACGTGTTGCCACTGGTCGAGCATGGGGTGATGTTGGGACGATCGTTCTTATGCCGATCAGAGTCCATGATCATCAATAAGCATGATGGAACGATGTTCATAATACTGTGCGATCCAGTGTGTGGACACTTCGAGGTGATCAAGTGCTCGAACACCAGGCCTAAGAATTCAAGGAACGGGTTGAATCCTAAATCCTATAGCTTCGAGGAAGCGGAACAGTTGGTGAAAGAACAAGAGTCATATGGGGAGGACGATGGGGAGAACCTGAGGGAGTTTTCCTTAGCTCTTCCCGATGTCTCACAGACTCTCGTTTCAACCCACTCTGAAATCGACCGAAACCGTGTACAGACGCTAACTGAGATTGTGTTTGAAGGTGGTGGCACGGGGAGTATGTTCTTAACATACCGACCTAGCACCCAGTCAGTTGGTGAGGAAGGTGTGATCCCCCAAGCCAAGCAAGGGTCTTTTTTAGAGGAGGGTGACTTAAAGTTGGATCAAAGCGGGGGTATAAGAAAGTAGCTGACAAAGCCAAGCCTGTCCCCGTCCTAGTCACCCACGACGAAGAAGTGTATTACAAGGAGGAGAGAGAGTGGATTAGGGCGATGAGAGAAAAATGTGAAAGAGAGTCGTGTCGTCTGACCGATGAGAGAATTAAGGAGATGATCATTGGAGAAGAGGGCTTCCTGACAACGAAAGAGAGAAACCTCACGATTGATGTCATGAAGGGGGAACACTTGGCGTATGTTTTTAATGACGATGAGAGGGGAAGATTAGACGTTGATAAAATCACGATGATTAGAATATATACGGTACCACACCAACCTTGGAATATAAGGGGGCCGCGCTACCCTAACCCGGATGACCATCGGAAGGTTGTAGACTACCTGGATGGGAAGATCAAGACGAAGGTAGCCGACTACTCCTATGGACCATATGTGTCCCCATGGTTTTGTTTTGTCAAACCTAACGGTGTCTTACGTTGGGTACAAGACTTGCAGAGATTGAACGCGATGACGGTTCGGGATGTCGGTGGACTTCCAAACGCGAATCAATTGTCTGAGGCTAGCACCGGTAGACGCATCATCACCATAATTGATCTTTATTCTGGCTATGATCAGTTTCCCTTGTACACGGCTGATAGAGCTATGACGGCAATGCATATACCTAGGCTGGTTCACATGTGTTCCGCGCCTCAAGGTTGGACTAATGCCGTCGCAATTGTGCAACGATATATGATGAAGGTTATGCAACCGCTTTGTCCGGACGTGACATCACCATATATCAATGACTTGTCGAATCCAGGACCAAGGGAGAAGGATGAATCAGAAGTGAAACCAGGTGTACGTAAGTTCTTTTGGGATCACATTCACGACATCAAGAAAGTTATGGCTAAGTTAAAGGAGTATAATCTCATGGCGAGTGGAGTAAAATCCAGACACTGCATGAGTGAGGCCACGATCTTGGGATTCCTATGCGACAAGAAAGGTCGTTGACCGGATACCAAGAAAACGAATAAGATCTTAGAGTGACCTACTCCGCTTAAGTCTGTTAGTGAGATAAGGAGTTTTCTCGGGACTTGTGGGTTTTGGAGGATCTTCATCCAACATTTTGCTGCAAGGGTGAAGCATTTACGCAAGCCCGTGCGTAAGGGCCAAGATTGGGAATGGGGACCGGATCAACAGAAAGTTGTTGAGGACATAAAGGCTGAGTTTCGTGAGGGAGGAATGGTGCTCGGGGTTCCATGCTTCGGTAACGACCCAGAGCGACCATTCATTATTGAAACTGATGCAGGACCTACGGCTCTATGAGGGGTCCTTATTCAAAAGGACGAGAGCGGGGTCGGAGGTCCGCTAAGGTTTGAAAGTAGAACCCTCAACCTCACGGAGCGAAACTATTCCCAGTTCAAGAGAGAGAATTTAACGGTGCTTCATTGCCTAAGAATTTTTTGCAATTATGTTTTCGGTCGGAGATTCGTCCTGAGGGTTGATCCGACCGCCTTGGCTCAGTCGTTAAGAAATTATTCCCCTTCCGATCCAACGATCGCAAGATGGCTTACGTACATTTGGATGTTCGATTTTGAAGTCGAGAGGATAGCCGGCATGAAGAATCGGGCAGACGGGCTAAGTAGAATCAACTGGGACAACTCCAAGATCCGAGCAGAGGACTCTGTGCTTGTTGACGGATTTCTGGAGATCGAGGAAGGTCAACTAAGTGAAAATTCTTACCATTATCTGGTTGATGCGTCTTACCGATACGGGAAGTCTATGTGGAACGCTCCCAACTTTTATCAAATTCGTCCTGAGCTGGTGAAAGAAGAACCATTTATCGAGGAGGGTTCATGGGGTGAGAGGTCCGGTGAGCAGATGATGAGACTCGCGCTCTCGGACTCCATTCGACTGTTGGAACATCCCGTGTCGATTCAGGAAGGTTTTTGACATGCCCATGAGGTCCTCAGAGTGTCCGGCGGGACATGTTTTGTGATTAACACGTTAATTGAGGAGGACTTGTGGGCTATGGTACCAACAGACAAGGACGGTGGGATGAAAGAAGCCTTTAGGAAAAATGGATACGATGGGATATATAGAGAGATCAGATTATGGTTGAGTAAGGAGATACGCGAGGAAAGTGTGAAAGATGACATTCATCGGAAAAGTGAAGAGTTTGTGGTTAGGTACGACCATCTATTTAAGAAGAGCGAAGACGACATCCCAAAAAGGGTCGTTTGTGGAATTACGAGGCAATTAGACGTGATTGCGGCTCTCCATGACGGGATTGCAGGAGGGCATCGCTCGGCCCGAGTGACGCTCCAGAAGTTACGACATCTCTATTTCTGGGACGATATGAGTAAAATGGTTACGGACTACCGCAGTTCGTGCGTTCCTTGTCAAGAACGCTCTAACCATAAGTATGTCGAACCCCTTAGCCCAGGGTACGTTGCTGAACCAGGAGTCGTGGTGCACCTCGACTTGGTGGTTATGCCGCTAGGAATAAATAGGTATCGGTTTATCTTTGGCGCAAGAGATAATCTGACAGGGTTCGTCGACAGTTGTGCAATACGAGAAAGAACCGGAAGAGTTTTAGCTGGGTGTATCGAAGAATACTACCTTCAGTATCCTTTCATCCGCGAAATTGTGATGGACCGCGGTGGCGAGTTCCGAGCGAAAGAAGTTCAAACTCTCCTAGGGAGATTCAACGTTAAGTATCAATATACCACGAGGGCGCATCCGCAGGCAAACGCTCCAATTGAGCGGGGGCACTCCACCCTCACAAACTTTTAAGCTAAGTGGTGTGCTGGGAAGCCTTCTAGGTGGCCGGTGTACCTTCGGACAACAATGTTTGTCGAAAATGTCACCGTAAAAAGGACGACTGGATATGCTCCGGCAACTCTTTGGTTTGGACGGCACGTAACTTTTCCGATTGAGAGTCTCTTGACAACATGGCAAAGGTAAGACTTAGAGGCTAACCTCTCAGTGGAAGAGCTACTCGACCTAAGGGTCGGACAGATCATGGCCATGGAGGAAAGGATTGAAGAGGCCGTCGCTTCGACTGCAGCAAGTTGAAGGGCAGACAAGGAGAGATGGGACAGACAGCCACGGGTCCGCAAGGAACCCTTAGAAGTCGGTGATGTTGTCCTTCTCTATGACTCTTCGTTGGAAAAACAATGGTCGAGGAAGCTAGACAATAGGTGGTTGGGACCTTATCGCATCCTCAAGAAATCGGAACACGGAGCGTATGAGGTCGAAGAACTTAACGGAGCTCGAAGACGGGATTGGGTTTCAGGATCGAAGTTGAAGAAATTCATACAGAGGGTATGAGTGAGGTAAGGATCGACACGCTTTCGCCTAAGTTGAATACATTTTTGCGTCATTGTCTGGTGATTATTTGTTTAGTCAATCGAGTCGTGCCTTCAGTGAAAACTGATGGGTTTCCTTTCTTTCTTTTCTGACTATCCTTGTGGCGACAGGGAGGGAAAGCGGAAGTGAAGCTACAGTTCAAGACGACATCGAGCTCTCGCCAAGACAAGGTTCAAAAGATGGTGCGGGTTGTGATCGCTTGCTTATCCGAGAGATTAGCAGCTCAAGAGAAGGGAGTTATTTTGTTCATGGGGAATAATGTGGAAGAGTTCATTGATCTTTTCACGAAACTCGCTAACAAGGAACAATGGACTGAGGATCGAATGAGAGACCAACTGGCTCGGTACTCGGACAAATACTGGAGACCCGTTGTTGATATTCTTGCAGAGGCGTCAGGAAACTGGGCCGAATTCGTTGCGGTCATGAGAGATACCTTTAACTTTGGAAGTATAGAAGAAAAGAGCAACCAAGCCATGATACAAATCACTCCTGTAGAGACTCAGCCTGGGGCCGGAAACACATCGATTACGGAGCTACTGACAGGTATCATTGAACGACTCGATGAGTTGGATCGTCGTGTTACCCGCCTGGAAGGGACGCAGGGAAGGAAATATTATGGATCGCAGCCAACCACATCTTCGGTAAAAGGGAAGGAGAAAGTGGTTGAGCCTGCCTCGAGGAGTACTCAAAGGAAATCTCTGGATGGCAGACCTTCACAACATTCGAAGACAGGATCCTTGGTAATCAAGAAGGGAAGCTTGTCGCAGGAGAAAGACGGAGTGTCGGAGTCCATAAAGGTTGCTAGGCTGGCACATCAGAAAAGCGTAGTTGTTGGAAGCAAGAAAGAGAGGGTCACATTGTCTAGCGATGAGAAACGGACAAAGATTGCCAAAGACGATTCCTCAGGCCGAGAGAGGGGAAATGCACTTAGTACGGAACAACGTAGCGAGGTTTTGAGGAGGGTTCTTAGTCCTACGCTGTCTGGGTCGAATGGTAGAACAAACTCTCTGAGGACGAAGGGGACACCGTTGTCGGGACCTCCCTTCTGTGTCGTCTATCAGAAAACGGGTCATAAGGTTAGAGATTGCCCAGTTCTTAGAGAGGAAACCAGATTGGAGTCGTGATATAATTTTAAGGCTATACGTGTATACCTATATTATATACAAATATATATATATATATATATGTGTGTGTCAAAACTCTTGTTGACTCTGTTTTACTCCATGTTTTGACTCAGTTAGCTTGATATGAAAAATGTTGGACATTGTCAATTAAATTCTCTGTTGGAACCTAATAAGGTAAATTAGTTGGATGTATGTTGACCATACGGTGCAAGTTTGAAATTCTAAGAGGAACATTGGTCGTTCACGTTGAATTCTTGTTCATTATTAAATTGGCATTGTGGTGCTGCATTTCCTGCAAACTGGATGAATTGATCGTTTGAAAACTTCATGAAAGATCATTTATTTGCTATGAAAGTGAATTGAAACATGTATGTTGATGTTGCCTCTCTCCAAAACTGAAATGGAAGCAGGACTTGGAAAAAGAGTTTCTGAAGAATGGTTTACGAGTGGGGTCCAGACGTTATCTGGGCAGCTCCAGATAGTTGTATTGTGGGAGGCTTGTTAGGGGCTATACCTGACTCATTTGGGTTTTGCTGAGGTCAAAATGAGTCTTCGATAAGGGGATGATAGGAGACTTGGGACCTTAGTATTTATCCCATCCCCGACATCCATTACCGTAGTACAATGTCAGTATCATCGTGGGACATGGGAGACCCAGGTTGAATTCCTGGCGACACGATTGAAAAAGTGTCGAGGTGTGGTGTTTGCATCCCAATGGCTCAAGAGAGACCCGGGTTGGAATCCCGACAGTGAATGGATGTTTTCCCCAAGTGAACTATTCAAACAACTTGATGGATGTCGATTTGCTTACTAGCCGGAGGTTGCATCTGGTACCACTCGGAGAGACTAATGTTGTTTTGGCTGCAGGTGGGGTGATACCGGAACCATTCTGAAGGGAGACACATTGGGTTTAGGCTTCCAGAGGCTGAATCTGGACACTATTCCAAGCTCAAAGATTTTGGCTAGCCAGAGGCTGAATCTGGTATCAATTCAGTAATTGAATTTATGCTTCCAGAAGCTGAATCTGGGTACTATTCCAAGTTCAAAAATTTTGGCTAGTCATAGGCTGAATCTGATACCATTTCAGTAATTGTTTTAGGCTGACTGGGGGTTGAAACCAGTAAATCATGAGAGGGCTGTGTTTTGGGCTACCAAGGGCTGAACTTGGTTTCATCCACACACACTTTCAATTGATTTTATTCTTCTAAAGGCCGAATCTGGATATTATTGCAAAACTTTGGCTAGCCAGAGGCTGGATCTGGTGCCATTTCAATGATTATTTTATGATTCTGGAGGCTGAATCCAGTTTTGTATTGAGAGTATGTCTGAATTTAAGATGGGTTGTCTTTATGAATGAGGGACATGCGTGCTTTGAGAGACCTTGCTACTAATATGATTGGAAACGCCAAAGCACACACAAAATTATCTACCTAGTATGTATAAATCCTAAACGACGAGGACGTCGTTTAATGGGGTCCGGGATGACTGTCGGGGCAGAAACCCTTACAAGGGTATCTGCCGACATTTTGACGGCACGCGGGAAGGCGCCGTTCTATCCGTAAGATGACGGGGTGTCGGTAAGCGAGTAAAAGACAAAGTGAAATTAATCCGCAGCGGCGCGGCAAAAGATTTCATGGGTATCCCAACCCCGTGTACATATTTACATTTCTTTTCTTATCGGGTATTGACCCCGCGTCTGTCTTTTCAAAATCTGTTACTCAGACTCTAGGGTTGGGCACCCAAGTGGTTGTAGAAAGGGCAGTTAACGCTACAAAAACATATTGCGGCGGAAACTACTAAAGGAAGGAAGCCGCAACGACAAGGACGTCGGGGCTACCATTCCCCTTCGCCCCCACCATCAAAGCAATGTGCGGCGACCTAAACAAAAGGTTGCCGCGCGGCCCATCGGCCGAGCAAATCAGGGTCCATCAAAGGAAAAGACCAATGTTAGAAACACTTGAAGCACGACTGCAAAGGGGGGCGCTCGAATTAAAGGCCTATCCGAAAAGACTATTGAAGAGAACCGACCCTACCACAATCCCTATAAGACTCAACCTCACTCCTACGCCATGCGTGTGTGCCATGCCGTTTAGCTAGACTAAAGTGGGTGTCCAAGTAATATGAGAGGAAGCCACGAAAATAGGCGCGTCGGGACCAAGCATTCCCCGACATTCCTACTACTAGGACAATGCGTGACAACCTAAAGAGATTCAGAGCTCGATGATTGAAAACGACCATGTCGGGCAATGGCTTGGAGGCGGCATAATAACGGGGAAAACTAAGGGTTGGAGTTGAAAATTTATCTACGAAAACCTACCGGAGAGAACACACCCTACCTGAATTTCTAGTGGCCTGACTCTGCGCCTACTACATACCTGCCTACCCCACTAAGCTACTAGGATCGGAGGGTGTGTGAGTGACGTAAAAGGTGGGGGGGATGCCACGGGGTTGCTGGCGTTGCGCCTAGCGCAGCCACTCATAGAGCAGTGGTGCCCCTACCCATGTAGAACTGAAGGCTAGCCCAGTCGGTTTGGGTGGCAAGCTGCTGAATACAGGATACAGGGATCAAGCCCGTGCGCCTCCAACCAGACTGACTCCATTTTCGGGAAGCGGAGATGCGTTTGGTGCAGCCACTCACATAGAAGTGGTGCCCTTACCTTTACAGAAGTAAGGGCTAGCCCAGTCGGTTTGGACAGCAGGCTGCCAAATACCGGACACACGGATCGAGCTCGCGCACCTCCGACCGTTGGGCTAGCTCCCTTTTGGACAGGACCGCGGAGCCCGAGGAAAGGATGCCTCGGCAGTAATGAAGGAGCACCGCGTCTATCGAGACAAATACCGGCGGCGCTCCTTTTTATACTGTGGAAAGAACTAGCCCAATGGGTTTGTGGGCAAATTAATAATCACGGGACACGGGGTTCAAGCCCATACGCCTCCGACCGCAGGACCAATTTTTTTTAGCAGATGGTAAGGCAGGCACGATGGCGCCCGAGTCAGATACAACGCAGTACAAACTCCGCTACGCGATCTGAGAAATCACACGGCCAGGGTCCGCCGCCTGAAAGGCAAAACAACTTCAAATTTATCCTCTGAGGGGATTACGGGCGGACTCGATCTCTGGCAGCAGGATAGAAGGACCCCGTGACCGTTGGGAGGAGGAACCAAGGGCAAACGAAAACGAGATGATAGAAAGGAAAACGAACGGGATTTTCCTCGAATGAGCATACAACGGAGGACTCAAACCGCGGGCAGCAGAGAAAAGGCCGCGTTAAAACGATAAAACAAAACGAAAAATGACAAAAAGAAAAACAAAAAGAAACAGACAAACTACGAGATGCCAGATTGCGCGTGGGAGGAAACCGCAAGGCAACAACTGAATCCGTTTCAAACGGATTTCTGTTGTTTTGTTTTTTTGTTTTTTTTCTCATTATTTTCTCGTTGTTTTCTTCTTTTTTCTTTAGTAGCATTTCTCTACAGCAGCCCCTATCAATGACCTGTATTTTTCTGTGTTCTAGGAAAAGATTCATTCTCAAGTTACATGATCAGTGGGACTGCGCCAGAGGGAAAATGGGTGCCCCACGCCCATACTGCACCTGGATTCGAACCAGAGTGTCTGGTATAGCACCACGSGAGGGCCGTGGCTGTAGTTGGCGAGGAGTAACGGCCATTATGGCCCCTCCTTTGGCCTCAGMCGGGCCATGATAGCTACCCTGCAGACTCGGCATCCGCACATTGGATCTTTCTGATCCTAGGGGTGGGGGTGAGTGCCRRGGAAGAGACACTTGCACATGGGAAGTARGAATAAAGGAATAATGGCGTGATTCCCGCCATTGAGATCAGTGGATCTCATGGTTGGGGATCCAGCAGAAGAACGGAGGGCTAGGACTKAATAAAACACTAAGTCCAGCCTCCTCTYGACGTACCTGTACTAAGAAAAATAGTCAGGTACGTCAAACTTTAAAAATTCATAACTCCTAGAATAATGGTCAGAAAAATACAAGAAAAACTGTTTCAGAGATGAGACAGTGTCGGCCATGTCCTGATAATTATGAGATGACTGATTGAACTAACCCTGAATAGATAAAAACGAGAGAAAGGGGAATAGTCAAAGTCAAACGCACTAAGTGTGCGGTTGCGGTGCGACGACGTCACACCGTCGATCTCACAAAAATCGAGGGCCCAGGGCCATCTCGAATTATTGCCTAGGGGCTAGAGTGTCGAGGCACACTCTCCATTTCRAATTATTGTCTAAGGGCTAGAGTGTCGAGGCACACTCTCCAACTCGACTATAAAAGCAGGCAATGCCCAGCAGTTGCCACACAAGGAGCACGTGCTGTAGGAGTGGTCGCACACTCTAAGGCATTTGTGAGTTGCGGGAGTGCCTTGGGAGTGCTGCTGGGAGTTTACTAGAGGAGCTGTTGGAACCAAGAGGAGGATGAGGAGCCACCATAGCCACAAGGTGGAGGCACCTTGCTGCCACCCTGGGTTGGTACCGGACCTACGGCACATGTGCTAAGGACCACTCCATTGGAGCAGGAGCTCGCCTCCAAGACTCAAGGGAGCGGCGTTTTCGACTTAGCTTCGGCCGAAGGCCGGGTTTTATTATTTTGAGCTTGGACGTGGCCGACGTGGGGGTGCATGCTATTGGAATAATCAAGCGGCAAGGCTACGTCTGCATGCCGAGGAGCGTTGTCGACCTTGTCATATGTGGGCGTCAGGATAATTTTGTGAGATTGTCGCGGGACCGCCGTTGGACCTGGTTTTTGACACCAAGGCGGTGCCTTCTATTTTTGGAAGCAAGGGTCCCGGGTTGCGGCGTGACGAGGCAGCGGTACCGCTTAACCGCTTGTTGGCAGTTCACGGCGGTGGCACCAAGTAATTTTTGTGTGGCGTTCCAAGTGTGTCGTCGCGTTCCGAGGGAGACGCCGAGTGCGGCACAGGCTTGAGGCGGACGCCAGTGCAAAACTGTGGCAGTACGACACAAGGGATTTTTTGACCAAGAACGGCGCAAGTCTTTGACGTTTTGGCGTGGTGGAACCCTTGGTACCGGTCCTTGGCACCGTTGGGACGATTTGGGGTTGCGCTGCATCGACGGTCCTATTGATTGGACTTTTGACCCCTAGACGCCAAGGGATTTATTTTGAAGGGCGTCGACAACCTGCATTACATTCGGCCCGACGGGACCAATTTGGAACCAAGGGTGCCACTAATCACTCGCGGGACGTACCGGAGCAAGCAAGGACCGCTCAATAATTGTTGGGGTTCACGACAATTGTGAGTTTCTATTCAAAACATTTTGGAGCGTGGTTGGAGTTCAAGATTCAGCTTGGCTTTCTTGGGTGAGTCGGTCGGCATCAGCGACACTTCACTCAAGGTCAGTTAATGACTCAGACCCCTCACTCCCCACGTGAAACCACACTTTGCTTGTCCCATTTCTATTTCCTTGAATATTCTGTCGAAAGAAATTAAGGCTGGTTTGTGTGTGCTCAAACATGAAAAGGGAAGTGTTGTCTGACCCCGGTATTCCCGCGTACTCTCGGAATCTGTCTTGGCTTTGTACCTTGTTGCAGGCAATGTGAGAAAAAGCTTTGCATGTCCAATGAAGATTAGGGTCTTCTGGGTGTGACGCTCCACCTGTGAAATGTTTAAACGCTCCTTTGTTTGTTTTTTTTTGGTTCGCAAGATCCTTGGTCGATTGAGGGTCACAAGGGAAGGATCTTGTCATTAATTATGCCTTTATTTATTTGGCTAAGCGGTCTCTACTTTAGGAATTCAACGATATGGGTCGTTCGTTATATTGCTATAAAGCGATCCTCGCCTATTACCCACGACAAGAATTGTAGGACGCGGTGAAACGAGTCGACGGTGCTCCACTATTTTCACCTTTCTTTCTTGAACTATCCGACGCATAGGAAATAGCTCCAATAAGCAYGCACCTAGCAGCCTCGTCTGGCTTGAGGAGYACCACGGAAGGATGGGTAGCTTYCAACTCCCCCGGGCCTTGTGGGACTAAGCAGCRATAGGAATCACCCTACATTTAGCCTGCACACGCTTGACGTCATTCTATACAAATAGCCCAGTTTCTCGTATACTTCACTTCACTACAAGATTTTTGTGTTGCCGGTTCCTTTTCTAGGAGGACGACAGAAGTTGGTTCGTCGTGGCCTGCATCGCCTATCGTGCCAAACCTTGGCAAAGGGGAGTGAGTCGGCCAGCCAGAGAAATGGGGGCGCAAGTAGCAGACAACACGGGTGCCGCAGGCAGTGCTGCCTCGAGCAGTTCGCGACGAAGGGTCGCGACGGTCGCCACCATCATGTTGTTTCCAAGCAAGACGGAGACAAGGGCGTCTGTTGTAGTCGTGGGAGGATTAAGGCAAGGATGGGCGAGAGTCGGCCGCATGGTCTTCCATCCCGCGGACGTCTTCCCGACCGAGGTGGAGCTCAGTGAAGACCAAGGAACCCTTGAGGACCCGCCACAGATTTACGCATTTGTGACAACGGCCATGAAGYTGGTACTAAGCGTTGGCGTGTGCCCCCTTAGGAAGACGCACTGGTTCGACGTCGGGGTCGTCTACGACGTCGTGAACAAGTCTATCCACCGCAAGTTCGAGGACGAGATCATGTGGTTRTCCCTGYGCATTATGAGGAACCACCACRCTCGGCAGGGACCATTCATATACATCGAGCATTACGATCGCRTTGGAYCGTATGATGTCGGATTCCGTGTCGCGGAGAGGTGTGACGATGAGGCCCTCCAGCGGCGGGAGGAGAATTTGCTAAAACTCTTTCATATCTGATGATGGCTCTTGGTGATGCAGGATGGCTGGAGCTCGGCGCGATCTTACGATCCCCAGGTATCTCCTGATTCGAGATACGATCGAGGCTGACCGCATCGCCTGGGYGGARAGGATGTCGATGGTGTTCGATGGGACTCCGACTCGATGGCTCGGTTTYGTCGGGATCGTCAACAACRGACACAGTTCTTTTCCGGAAGAGCGATCGGAGATTCGAACGAACTTGATTCGGCGTCCGAACGAGTTGCAAGGGCATACATTGTATTTCCATCGGGTCTCGAACATGGAGCTTGTCTCTCGAGTCACCGCTGGAGTACTCTCCAGACGATCCGGAGCGCAAATGGTGTTCCTTTGGCTGCGAGACACTTCCGCCCGACACCTTAAGTGCCTCGGTGTACCTTTCTGGTCCGTCCTGTTGACATTGGCGTGACGAATGGCGGAGGTCTACAGCACGAGCGACCTACGACTACGATGGCAAGGACGAGTGTGGAGGATGGCGATTAACGAGGCGTTCATCCAGCGGCATACCTGGCTAGATAGGCACGCTCGGGTGACTCACACGCTTTACGGCCGCTTGGAGTCTTCCACCCTGTATAGGTCCCTGTAGAGTGGACCGTCCAGCGGAGTGTAGCAGGTTAGACTCCTACGATCGGATCATCAGGCTTCGCCCTCAAGAGGGCTAAAACATGATAAAACTCAGTAGTGCCGACCAAGAAAACGTGGTCAGCCCCCCCCTATGATTATCACTTTTCCACAACAAATTTTGCAGGCATTATGATGAGGGGCGAAGGCGGCACATAAGTTTTGTTCCTTTCCTTCCTATATGTTTAAGATTGATGGTCGTTCGCAGTTAGGCAATAGCCTTTATACTAGGAGGGACGCAAGTGGTTTGGATAACAGGAAGTCACAGGAAAAATAATAGAGAGTGTCTTGGGCATATTGTTACAACGCGGAGTTGCTTTTGCAAATTTGATTCAGTAAGTTCCTTGTCCCGGCAAGTTGTGACTGTCGATGGTATCAAGGGGGTGATCCTCTTGTCAGTTTCTACGTACATCAATTGTGGAACGCTCTTGAAAACTTTCCTTTCAACTTTATAAGATAGTGAAAACAAAGGCACGTTCCCTCTCATCGAATCTCTCATACCTGCAAAGAATTGTTGTTTCTGCCCTTGGGATGATTCGCTACCTGCATGCTGCATTTGTATGTCTTCGTTTGCATCCTCTATGTGCCTTGGCTGTCGTGTATGTGCTTTTAGTAACGACTTCAAACATGTTTGGTTGTAAAGCTCATGTGTCTTAATGCGACATCTATGCGTGACTTAGTTACGACCCTCGCGTGGTTGTTAGCAACGTCTATTTATGTCTTGGTTATTTACGTTCATATGTTTGATTCCAACGTCTGAATGTCTCAAGTAACCCATATGTGTGTTTTCTGCTCCAATGACACTGTCTTCCGGAAAGCGTCTTTATAAAAGACTAGGAGTGACTTCGATGGGATCATTCTATATTCACCTATAAGAATTGTCTGTACTACGGCGAAACGAGCAAAACGCCCCTGGCTGGTCTACCTCTGTGATTGCATGTAAAAGTTTTCGAATGTAGATCATTAGCTCGGTAGGGATACGCGTCTGAGGATGGTGACAACTCCTCAGGGAAGACGAGTTGTGCCTCGCGGGACCCCGACCTGTTGTAGGGGAACGCGAGAAGTACGACTAACGCACCCGGCTAGAGTGGCAAAACCCCGTCGTTCACCTCGATGAATTTTGGGGGAAGTATTCCGACTTTAAAAGGAAAGATATCAAACTCCTGCGTGATGCGGCCGGGAAGTCCCCCTTTATGCGCTACGATGCGAGGGGGGGCCATTGCGTCTGACAGCGAGGCACCCGGAAAAGCTGAGACCACGGCAGCGGGTTGTGATTCTGTGGCCGTAGTGACCGGAATCTGGGTGGGTGCGCCATAGAGTGAGGGAGGGTCTGGCTGATGGAGGCCGTCGTGCTAGGAGCGTGGACAGTCCCCAGGATGGCCGGGTCAGGGGCGGCAGAGGAGGAAGCTCCGCCTTGGCCACCATGTCGGAGGACGGGGGACCCAGATTGGGAGCCAGGAGAAGAGAGAGAGGGGAGAGAGGAAGGACGGCTAGCGTCCTGGAATTGCCGTAGGCCAGCAGAAAGAGTCGCCACCTGCACCCTTAAGGGCGCAAGGAGGGAGGTGATGAGGGTGTGCAGATCCCCCTGGGGCTGATAGCCCTAGTCCATCGGCACGGGTGTGGAGGCCGTTGCCGAGGTTGTCGCCTCCTCGACAGCCTGTGACACACCGTCGACCATGCGGAGGTAACGGGCTGGACTAGAGAGGGTCGGAGGAGGGCCGCATGAGCGGAGGGCGTAGGGGGAGGTCTGCGATAGAAGGCGACGGGTGGTGCTAGTAAATCGAGTGCGGGCGTCGTCAAAGGGGGAGGGGTTGTTCGACTCCAGGGTGCCTGAATGAGAAGGGAAAGTAGGGTGGGTGAGAAGAACCCTAAACCCTAGAAAACCCCTAAGAAAACCCTAACCGGAGTTTGAGTGGTTAGGGTAGGGTACCGTTGACCAAATCAAGAAAATAGAATAGCAAGCATAGGGGGGGAGGCGGAAGGAAAAATAAATAAACAGCGAAATTTCAAGAGAAAAATAAAAATAAATAAAATAATAAATAGATAATAAAAATAATTAAAAAAATAAGGAAACAAAATGTGAAAAGAAAAATAATATTTATTTTTTTTAAATTTTCGGCAGCATTTCCCTAACCCCCTTGGGATCAAGAATGTGCCAAGGGAAAGGAGAGACTAAGGTAAGCACACCAGGTTTCAAAATGCCGCAAAGTAAAAATTTCGGAAAATAAATATATAAATAATAAACTAGGTTACCAATCGTCCGATGGCAGGACGTCTCGGTCGGACGTCTCGGTCGGACGTCTCCCCCAACCGTCCGATAGTGGGGTTGTCCGGGATCCCGGACAACCATTTTTTGGTAAAAAAAAAAGAAAAAAAATTAAAAAATGACAGTGTTGCGCATGCCATAAAGACCCCCCATAAAAAAATTCAGAATTTTCTGAGCATTTGGTGAGGTGGGAGGGGGGGTTACAAGGGGTTTTGATGGGGATAGGAGGGGTATAGGTGGGGATTAGAAACTTTGAAGATTTTTATATTTTTTTGTATAGGCTCAAATGAGCCAAAATTTTGGTGGCATACACCTTCTGCAAGGTAGAAGCCACATGATGTTTTTTTTTTTTTTTTTTTTTTTTTTTTTAACGCTAGGTAGGGCAACCCTTGTCCGATCCGACATCCGACCAGACGTCCGGTCGGACATCCCGGACGTTCGGGAAAACAACCTAGATAATAAATAAATAAATAAACTAGGCTACCAAAGTGGCCCGGGGTCACTTGCCCGACCGGGCCAAAAAGGTAAAAACAAATAAAATATTTTAAACTTTTATTTTAAATTTTAAATTTGGTAAAGAATTTCGATGCGAGCCTGAGGCAAAAGTTGTTTATTTTATTTTTCTACATAACATAGTATTTTTTTAGATTTTTTGGATTTGTTTTTTTTTTGTTGGGACCTTCCTTTGTCCTTGCACGTGCTGGTAACCCGGGGCCCGGGCGGCCTGGCTGGTAGCCTAGTAAACAAATAAATAAATATGTAGATGAGGAGGTGAAGAGAAATTAAGTGTTATATTTTTCAAGAACTTCGGCAGCATTTCGTTACCCCCGTGGGGTCGAAGTGTGCCGTCAAGAAGAAAGACCAAGTAAAATGAGAAGATTTTGTCAGCACCTCGCTACCCCCAAGGGGTCAAAATGTGTTGAAAAAGACTAAGTGAAAGAAAAGCAGAAAATTTCGGCAGCACTTCGTTACCCCCACGGGGTCGAAATGTGTGCCGAAAGCAAGAATGACTAACTCCTAATCAGATTTAAGGGTGCCGTAAGGAAATTCGAATTTTCAGAATAAAATAAAAAATAAAATGAAATAAATCAGAAAATAAGAAAAGAAAGTGGAGAATAAGATAACTCGAATTTTTTGAAAAAGAGGAAAGATAAATCAAAGGAAAGATAGAGAGAAGAAAAAAACAGAAAATTTTCGAAGTAGGAGGGAAGGGGAGTGAAAAAGTGGATGGAAAAAAGTGAGAAATACGTTGGAGAGAGAAAAAGAGTGAAGCGGGAGATGGGGGAAGTGATAGGGTTGTAGTTGTGCGAGAGGAGGGTGAGAGAATGGGAGAGAAAGGGATGGGAAAGGTGGAGAGGGATCAAGAAGCAAAGAGAAAAAAAAAGGAGAAAGATAAATGAATAAAAAATGGGGAGAGGGGTATGAGTAGTGAGGGTGAGTAGGAGGGAGTGAGGTAGAAGAGGAAGAAGTAGAGGGAGTGAGTAAGAGGAGAGAGAAAGGTAGGGAAAGTGGGTTAGTAGGGAGAGGGAAGAGGGAGGTGATACTTGGCCCTTGGTGTCTCCAAGGGCACACGGTATACCAAGACCAGGAGGATCTTGGCCTTCGCTGCCGCAAGGAAGCTGGAGGAGAGAGGGGGCTGAGATCTTGATCAGCCCCTAGCAGCCGTACTGCAGATCTGCAGATCCAGGGTATGCTGTGTGAGCAGACCCTCACCAATGTCGAGCAGCCCCCTAAGCAGGGAGGTCTTCAGTTCCCCAGCAAGCTGCCACGTGGCACTGC